TGGGTCAATCTGGTCAATGGGGCTGAGATAGACGAAAACTCCTCCACAAACCGATAATAATTGTCCGCCAAACCCAAGAAGCTCCGAATCTCTGTAGCTGAAGTAGGTCTAGGCCAGTTCTACACTGCCTCAATCTTCTTAGGATCCACCTTAATGCCCTCGGAAGATACAACATGTCTCAAAAAAGCAACCAAGTCCAACAAGAACTCACACTTTGAAAACTTGGCATATAACTGACGATCCATCAAAGCCTGGATGTTGCTTATGCTCCTCTCAACTGTGGGAGTAAAAAACGATATCATCAATGAAGACAATCACAAAGGAATCTGAGTCCGAAAAGTTGTCTTAGGGACATCCGATGCCCTAATCTTCACCCGATATGTAGCCAGAGCTCAAATCAATCTTCGAAAACACCTTTGCACCTTGATGCTGGTCAAATAAATCATCAATCCTCGGTAACAGGTACTTGTTCTTAATAGTCGCCTTATTCATCTACCTGTAGTCAATACACATCCTCATAGAGTCGTCATTCTTCTTCACAAACAACATTGGTGTACCCTAAGGCGAGACACTAGGTCTAATGAATTCATTGTCTAGAAAATCCTGCAACTGCTCCTTCAATTCTTTCAATTCAACTGGGGCCATGTGGTATGGTGAAATAGAAATGGGCGGAGTGACCGGACCAAGTTAATGCAAAAGTCAATTTCTTTGTCTGGTGGCATACCTGGCAAGTACGTAGGAAACACCTCTAGGAACTTACGCACAACCGGAACCGAATCCATGGAAGGAACCTCCGCACTAGAATCACAGATATAGGCCAAATACGCCAGACACCCCTTCTCGACCATACGTCGAGCCTTCACATATGAATGACCCTACAAGTGAAATGACCAGGAGTCCATCTCCACTCTAATCAAGGCAACCCTGGCATGGATAACGTCTCAGTCTTGGAATCCATAATAGCATGATAGGGCGACAACCAATCCATGCCCAAAATCACGTTAAATCCACCATATCAATTAATAGAAGGTCAACCCTAGTCTCATAGCTCCCGATAATAACCAAACAAGCACGATAAACCCGGTCTACCACAATAGAATCCCCAACGGGCGTAGACACATAAATAGGAGCACTCAAAGAATCACGAGACATATCCAAAAATTGAAGCAAAATAGGATGACATATACGAATAGGTGAAATTCGGATCAAATAAAACTGATGCATCTCTATGGCAAATCAGAATAATACCCGTGATGACCGGATCAAATGACTCTGCCTCAGATCAAGCTGGGAATGCATAGAAACGGGGCTGAGCGCCACCACTCTGACCTCCACCTCTCAAACAACCTCTAACTGGCTAGCCTCCACTTCTAACGCCCTGACCACCACCCCGGGCTGCCTGATGTCCACCTCTAGCTAGTTGAGTGGGTGGTGGAGCAACCGGTGCCGGAATCATGGCACGAGTACCCTGCTGTGGTCTGCTGCTCCTCAACCTAGGACAACACCTCTTGTTATGACCTGCGTCGCCACACTAAAAGCAACTTCGCGGCTGCATTAAACTTTCTTATCGTATTTTGGTGATGAACCTAGTATTCTTGTGTAACAAACGAAAGGTTGGTGATGGTGGTGACTTGTTTCTGATTCTTGTTGTGTTGTATACTTTTAGCTTGAGACACAGAAATTTGGATAGCTCTACATATAGGGGAAACTCTGTTCGATCATGACCGCATTTGGTAGGTGCTATGCCCTTGAGCAGGGGTCATGTACCTAAGTTGGATCATGACCGCATTTTCTCAGTTCAAAGGAATGTGATGCACAAATAAAATTGGGTTTCCAAAATGGAAGTAATTGTGCAAAGGTGGAGGACGGAGTATTGCTTCATATTTTATCTGGGTTTGTAGACTATATTCAAGCTTTATTGATACTTGATATGAACCTCATGATGAATCCTCTTTTTGAATGCCCCAAATTTCGTAAAGCATTATTCATCCCGCTAATGATTTGCTGCTTTCCGACTATCATTATGGTTGTTTTTGTAAAAAGGACGATTTGCTCAATAGGTTCTTTGACAGATATATGTGGAACGACGCCATGCTTTGTGATATAAATTATACACTGAGCAGCGTCTTCTTTTTTTTGAGATGGATGAGCAGCGTGTCTTCTATTGGAGATGATCGTTTGATATGATAATTATACACTGAGAAGTATGTCTTGTATTGGAGGAGATTGTTTGATATGATTGTCTTTCATTGTTAAAGTGTGTCTTTTATTGGAGAAGATTGTTTGTCAATAGAAAAGAGGCTATCTAACTGTATCAATGATATAATAAAGGCTAGTAAGGTTGTGCCTGCAAGTGAGATATTGAATAGTACTGGCCCTTAGAATGTTCAGTGCATGCGATTTTTCATGTAATCTAATCCCATATTGAGCCAAAAGGGAAAATATGATATGAATTTCACTATAAAAAAGCTATTTTGAGAAATGGAGATGTGTCATATCCTGCCTAATCACCTCTCTCCAATACTTGTTCGGCCTACCTTTACCTATCTTTAGACCCACCATTGTCAATCTCTTGCGCCTTTTCACTGGGGCATCCGAACATCTCCTGTTGACATGCCCGATCCATCTCAGCTTCATTCCCCGCATCTTGTTCACCATGGAGGCATGCTTACATTGTTCAAAATATCTTCATTCCTGACCCTATCTCTCCTGGTATGCCCACACATCCATCTCAGCATCCTCATCTCTGCTACTTTCATCTTCTAGACATGAAAGTTTTTGACTGACCAACACTCAGCCCAATACAACAGGGTCGGTCTAACCACTATTTTGTAGAACTTACCTTTAAGTCTTAGTGGCACGTTCTTATCACACAAGACACTGGATGCTAGCCTCCATTTCATCTACCCCGCTCCAATACGATGTGTGACATCATCGTCGATCTCCCAATTGCCTTGGATTACTGACCTAAGGTACTTGAAACTTCCTCTCTTAGGGATGACTCGTGAATCTGACCTCATTTCCACGCTAGCCTCCTCAGTTACGTCACTGAACTTGCACTCCAAGTATCCGGTTTTAGACATGCACAATCTAAAATCTTTAGACTTCAGGGTTTGTCTCCAAACCTCCAACCTAGCATTAATTTCGCCTAGCGTCTCGTCAAACAGTACTATATCATTCGCAAATAACTTGCACCATGGCATCTCCTTTGAATGTGACGTGTCAATATATTCATTGCCAAGGCAAATACTCTAAAATTAAATTTAACTAGAAAAAAAAAACTAAAGTTATTAATTAATTTAACAAGTTCGATATAGATTTCACCTATGATTAACATATGGTATTCATTCCTCCTCCATCTAATTACTTTCTAAGTTATGAGCGACTCGCTTGATTACACCCAATTATTGCACCATCTTCACCAAGTGTAACTCTCTCGATTATACAAATAGTAAAGGTATTACGTCCCAAGTGTTGTAGATGGTTGACTAACTCACTCTAGGTCTGACGATTAGATATGGACCCTTTCGAGGTATATATGCTCACAAGTAAGTGCATGACTAGTCTCTACTACCATGTAGGACGAACAAATAAATTATGATCAATCAAGATTCAAGCACATCTGAGAAAGTAAAGGATTCAGACATTTCTGTTACTTATAAGTTTGAAATTGCTCTAAGAAACGTCAATCAAATCAACAATAGATGCAATGAAGAAATTAATCCATATAGTTAAATCATAGGATTCATCTAACCCTACCACAAGAAAGCCACTCTATAGCAATGGTTCAATTTAAATAAAAAGTACTAAAGCCACAAAAGTTGATGGGTGCAAAGAGAAAGCAAAATGTGACAAGAAAGTGTTCTCATATCTTGAACTTCTTCTTTTTAACCTTGATTTTTGTGATGGATCCTTGATTCCTAGTTTTAGCCTACCAATGTGTGTCAAAAGTTCCTCAAAAGAATGCAAAATTCTATACCTCTTAAAACTACCATACCTTAGAGTTCGACTCCATAGTGGTAAAAATTGGCACTGCAACACCATTTGTTGTCACTAGAATATTTTTTGAAGTTTGGCCACCGCCGTGATGGTGAAAACTGGTGTTGTAACGCTATTATTATTACAATGCAAAATAGGACCCCCATAATTTGTTGTTTTTCTCTTTTTCCAATTGTTTTGGTATTCATTTTCATATTATCCAAGCAACAAGATGGATAAAATCTATATAGATTTATAACTTGCCAAAATTTGTATCCTACAACTTATACTCATATTGCATGGTTTGGGTTTTACAGACGAAATATCTTATCGTAAAACTTAAAATATTGAGACCAAATCTTTTAAATCATATGAAGCTTTTTTGTAACTATGTTGATGTTTGAAACAAGTTTGAACTATGTTAATGTTCCATGCGAGAATGTTTTTTTGAGATGTTTTACCGTTATTTTAAATGCTTTTGTCATCAGTGTAGATGTTTTTCCGTTGCTAAAGATGTAACTACAATTACTGAAATGAATTTACCACTATTTGGAATTTATTTATAATGACAAGTATTTTTTGCTAAAATTTGTTAGTAGAAAGTAGAACTTGTATACCACTGTCAATATTCCTTGAGTGGGGACCACTGCCATGATTTCCCCCCCCCCCCCCCCCCCAAAACCCCAAACCCCAAAACTTGTTTTGCTTATCCCTTGATGAATGGAGCATGTCCTTTACTTGTTTGCTCTTGTAAACCTCTCAATGTAATGTACGTAGTTGATTGTGACACTGTATTGTTACCATGTACATGATGTATTCATGATACAATATATGAACATTTATCGTTATTAGGAAAACACATTTCTACTATGTTTTATGAATATACCTTCAAGAAAACTATGGTTTTTAAATACTATGTACTGGCATGTTTCCCGGCTTGTCTTCATATAGAATAGTTGTTGGTAAGCGCTATCTGATCAATGAGCTAGCTAACTCACTTTATAATTATTGTTGTTTTTTAGAGACAGCTATCGACGTAGACGAGGACTTCCAATCTAAAGATCGTGAAGTTGATTGTACTGGTGAGCCTCATATTGTTTTGCACAACGAAAATTTATCATCTATTGTCGTCCTTTAATTTAAACTCTTAGAAATGCTCATTTGGTTAGTATTATTAGTACTTTGGTTATCATATGACTTTTTGTTGAGGTGTGTGGTCATCTCATCTAAAAGATTAAGCTATTAGAGAAAGCACACTTTATTTACTTAATTGTCTCTTCAACACGCCCTTCCACGCGTAGGCTTCATTCATTTTTGTCATTGGCCAAGCACATAGAAATTCCTTTTTATAATGGTGGCGGTGAGACTCGAACTTATGACATATGCCGCCTCTGATATCATATTGAAGTCGAGACCATCTAATTTAAAAGTTTAAGTTGTTAGAGAGAGCACACTTTATTTACTTAATTGTCTCTTCGACACTTTTAAGTGTGCATTAAACTTTCTTATCATATTTTGGTGATGAACCTAGTTTTATTGTGTTACAAACGAGAGGTTGGTGCTGGTGGTGACTTGTTTTGACTGATTCCTATTGTGTTGTTTAGTTTTAGCTTGAGACTGGAAATTTGGATAGCTCTACATATAGGGGAAATTCTGTCCGATTTTCTGTGAAATCCTTATAAGATCGACTTGGTAGGGGCTCTACCTTGAGCAGGGGTCATGTACCTAAGTTGGATCGTGACTGCATTTTCTCAGTTCAAAGGACTGAGATGCAAAAATAAAATTGGGTTTCCAAAATGGAAGTAATGCTGCAAAGGTGGAGGACGGAGTATTACTTCATATTTATTTACCTGGGTTTGTAGAATATATGCAAGCTTTCTTGATACTTGATATGAACCTCAGGATGACTCCTCTTTTTAATGCCACGAATTTCGTAAAGCATTGTTCGTCCAGCTAATGATTTGCTGCTTTCCGAATATCATTATGATTGTTTGTGTAAAAATGATGATCTGCTCAATAGGTTCTTTGACAGATATATGTGGAACGACACCATGTTTTGTGATATTAATTATACAGTGAGCAGTGTCTTCTATTGGAGATGATCGTTTGATATGATAATTATACACTGAGAAATGTGTTTTTTATTGGAGAAGAATGTTTGATATGATTGTCTTTCATTGTTGAAGTGTGTCTCTTTTATTGAAAAAGATTGTTCGTTAATAGAAAGGAGGAGATCTAATTGTATCAACGATATTTTTTTGATAATGTAACTGTTGTAATGATATAATAAAGGCCAGCAAGGTTCTGCCCGTGTTCAGTACATGCAAATTTTCATGTAATATGATCCCATAGTGAGCCAAAAAAGGGAAAATATACTATGAATTTCACTATAGAAAAGCCATTTTGAGAAATGACCAGATGGAGTTACCTATATTGTCACTGGAAACACAAACTGATTATGTAGCAGCAATGAGTTAGATCTGATGTTTTCTCCTCTGCTTAAACAATACCTAAAAAGCACGTTTGCATACATGAGGTTGGATTTTGGAGGACTGCTAAGAGTTTTTCCACGCCTCTAGCCCTTCCTTTGTATCAATTGTACTACCTGGTATTAGTTATGTACTTTATTGTGTACATGCAGTGGCTTGGGACCACTACTTTTGTAAAATTTTACTACTATATCTTCAGTCTATAACTTTACATCAGTACTTTTGCAATCTTATACTAGTACTTGGTTTTAATCACTACTGTTAGTATTAGATGTACATGCAATGGCTTGTCTCCACGTCATTCTGTACTGTTAAAGTATTTCCTTGGTCTACTTCACTTTTACAATTTTAAATGCAAATTCTTTTGCTGCTATGATTCAACAATGGTGAAATTGCAGTGTAGCTTGTACCAACAATCCCCAAGTGCCCTTTTCGTTTTCCCTTTCTTTGCACTGTCTAAAGCTGGAAAGTTCCCATTGTTATAGCAAGTAGGAGTGTAAAATTTTGAAATCAATTAGTCAATAAACTATTATTTGATACCAAATTAGCTAGGGGTTGGCTATATGAATTCTTTGTATTATCATTAGAAGATTTATTATAACCAAGATTTTTTATGCTGGCTCTTTTACCATGACCTGGGACTGTTTATACATATCGTTAATAGGTTTGTTGTTAATTAATAAGCTTGTCATCACGTCTTTCATAGATATTGGGATAGAATTAGCATGTACCGATCGGTTTCCTGCATCTTGTATAACTTGTCGCGATGATACTGTTTGATGTTTCCCATCTCTTTTCAGACAAAAACTTTAATTGATATTAAGATGAAGATCAAAATTTGCTTTTAAGCATACAGATTATCATTTTCTAACATAGCAAAGTATTTGAAACATATTACGTACTTAATTTGTTCTATAAGTATGTTGGGCATAGTGTAGTATTGATCATTTCACATGACATATTATAGTGTTAATTTGTGCAACGGAGCTTAAGCCGCGCCTTTTCTTCAGAAATGTGAAAGAGTTATTAGTTAAGTATTACTAGCCGTGCTGTTTTCAGAAATTTACGACTCATTCATTTCCAATATTACAATTTACACATTATGGGATTTATAATCTGACGTAAATAATCTAACGTGAGCTTATATGACGTACTATCAGGTCTTGGATAGACACAAGTAAATAGAGTTTTTGGAAGCATTTCAACTGTTAGCCTACATATGCCATGTAAACTTAGCACGAACTACTCGTGTTGACATGTGGGCGGAGGTAGTGAGGAAGCCTCATGACAAGTTGCGTGTATTTTGTACGTACTGTGTGTGTACAAATAATTTACGAAATACATACAACTATGGGTGTATAAAGAAAACCGATAACCCGTACCAGCCCGATAATCTGAGTCAAACCGGAAAAAAAAATCCGATGTGGTATGATTTGATTTGGTTTGGTATTGAACAAAAAAATCCGACCATAATTAGTTTGGTTTGGTTTTAACTAAAAAACGTTAAACCGAAACCAAACCAACCCGATATTACATTTATACGATTTTTAAAAATATTTTATACATATAAATATTTATTGTAATGTTATTTATAAATATTTTTTAAACTTTTATATAGTTTTATCTTTTAATGTATTATTTCAAGCTTAGATTTAACATTCTTGAATTGTCCAATAAGTTTTATAGTCCATAAATGTAGTAACTCAAATAAAGTTCAAATCAATACTAATGCTAACAAAATAAATTCAATTCAACACTAGAAATGACAATAGTGTTAGATATCTAATTTTAGTTTTGCATTGGTTTATAATGAAATAACTTAATTTATCTTTTTCTTTAGTGATTAGTCATGTAATTAATAGTACTTATTAATTAGATGTACTTATATAGTACTTTTAGATTATATTCATTTTTATTATGACTTATACGACTTTATTATCTTTGTTATTGAATATTTTAGTATAATGCTATGACTCATCTCATATTATTGTGTTATTTTCTTGAAAAATACATTATATAGTTGTATCTTACTAGGATTAAAGAAATATTTGGAGCACAAGTTACATATTTTGTGCTATGAAGACTTTATCGGAAAAAATCCAAAAATCCGAAAAACCCCGAAAGCCCGAGAAAAATCGAGATTTTTTTGTTTGATTTGGTTTATAAATTTAAAAATCCGACACCAATGATTTGGTTTGGTAATTAAAAAGTCCGAACTAACCCGGCTTATGTACACCCCTACATGCAACAATATAATTGTAGGCAAGTTATATGTAAGTTGTATGTGTTTGATGGAATTCGTATAATAAAAGGTTGTTTACAAATTGTATATAAGTTGTATGTTCTAACCGGATTATATATGTACGACAAAAAGTTGTCTATATATATAAATTATATGTATTGATCGAATTATTTATAATTTATAAAAAAACTTCTAGATGCTTTTTATAAATAGAAAAATGGATAAATATTATCCTAATGTTATATCTATAGGAAAAAATCTCTAACGCGCGTATATATATCTTTAGATCTTGTTTTGCTGCTTTTATGCCAGTTACTTAATTATATATTACTGATAAACCAGAGAGCTGATTGTTATTCAAGCTAGTAGCTCGTCTTTAGTCTTTCTATCGCAGTCCCAGGATCTATTTAATTAATATTCGAATGTATATGTTAGTAAACGATTATCCATTGAAAAGTGATTCGTGCTGCTAAAATGTGTAGTTGGCTTTACATGTGATGGTGGATATGTTAAAGAAACTGTGTACTAAGAGACTGCTCTGTGACGAGTAGCATGTAAATAGAAGTGGCTTCCAACTCTCTCTCTTGTAGTCGTGGACTTAAATCGTATCCAAAACAAAAATGCAGATTATAGTTAAATGCAGATTCTTTTGCTGCTATGACTCAACAATATAATGGTGATATGATAGTCGGGTGTACAAACCGAACCAGAGAATCGCACCTAATCAAAAAGTCAAATCAAACCGATTAAAAAATCCGATAAGGTTTGATATTGAGTAAAAAAAAAATCAAATCAACCCGACTTATAAATATATAAATTTTATATATATATTTTTAAGACTTTACACAGAATTTTATTTAAAAAATGTCTACAAATATTTGGGATTCTCTTATGGGATGTAATATTTAATATAATATGAAGTGCTCTATTTTTATTAACTTTAAATAATGTGCTGTATAATCATTTACTTATCAAGTATTATTTGAATGCGTCAATCTCTTTGTTATTCCATAATTCATATATCAAGATCTATTAAATTCTTATATCTTTTTCGAATTTGAGGTGGTATTTCGATAACTGAAAATTAAATAGAACATATCATTATTTAGGTATCATATTGATTTTTATGTTTAATTATTAAATTCGGTTAACCTTGAAAGTGTACATCAACGAAAAATTATTGTCAGGCAACTAAAAAAATAACTATTACTATGTGTTACTAAGAAAATTCTCTCATAAGAATATTTTAATAGATCATATGTTTATTAATTTTTTAAATTTTTATTAAACATATATTTACTTATCAAAAAATTTAACAAATTAAGATTGACATACTATTCATGTAACCAAAAAAATCAGAAAAAATCAAAAAATCCGACAAAACTGAACCAATCCAAATCGATATAGTTGATTTGGCTTGGTTTTAATAAAAATCGAACCAACCCGGTCCATGTACTCCCTTGGTCTAGCTTGTATCAACAATCCCCTTTACGTTTTCCCTTCCTTTGCACTGTCTAAAGCCGGAAAGTTTCCACTGTTATAGCAAGTAGGAGTATAAAATTCAAAAATCAATTAATCAATGAACTTTTCTTTGATACCATTAGCTAGGGTTGGCTATATATATATATATATATATATATGTAATTAGAGATGGGCATAAAAATTAAAAACCAAAAAATCGAACTAAACTTTACCTTTAATAATGTAACTCTTGAATAAAGTTTATGGAACATGAGTTTATTTTAGCCCTCTGAATCTATTCGGATTATCTTAAATATGATTTGAGCTAACTAATACGAAGAATGAATGCTTGAGTATTAGAGTTCATTTGCATGTAGATCATAAACTTTAAAAAATAGTTTTTTTTTCTTGTGTAAATAACAAACATGTGACAATGTGCTCTATTTCTTTCTGGAGTTTCAAGATATAACATAATGTGTTGAAGTTTCTAGCAATGTTCTTTAGGTACTTTGTGTTAATAAACTTTAAGGGAGAATGTTTAAATTACTGGAATGGGCAGTAGCTTGTTTATTCTTCGTTTTCTATTAGCATGCTAATAGAAGATTAAGTAAAAAATAACTTCAGTGTATTTGTTTTGGAAGTTTAAATCTATAGTTTAAATAGAAAATGGTATTGAAGCAGATCCTAGTCCGTAAGATGTAGTAGATTCGACTTTAAGTCTTCATGTTGGAATAGAGTTCTTGATAGGAACTTGAATTACAGCATGTATTTCTCATTAAGTCAGTAATTGTTTTTTAAATATATTTGTTTTTAAAGTAAAATTACCAATAAAAGTGAAATCAAGTATTTTATTTTGACTCTTGATGCTAGATGCTATCAATAATTTTAGAGTAATATTTTATTAAGTCTTGGGGGGAGAAAAAGAGTTTNTTTTTTTGTTCTTGGATTAATCAGATGCGAGCATATTGAATTAAAAATTGTATTAATCCATTAAAAACTCCATTGACAACCATTAAAAAAATTCGAAATTTTGAATTCGAAAAATAGATTTAGCAAAATTATTATTTGTTTGAATTGGGTGTTGTTGCAAATGATTGAGATTATCCTTTGAAGTTTATA